AGGACACTGGACCGCTATCTTACACATACACAAAAATTAACTCCAAGTGGATTAACGACTTCACTGTAATACCTGAAGCTGTAAAATTCCTAGAACAAAATAGAGGCAATACACTTCTTCACATTGGTATTGGTAATGATTTTCTTGTATTTAATACCAAAAGCAAAGGTAACCAAGCAAAAATAAACAAATGGAACGACATCAAACTAAAAAGCCTGGGCACACAGCAAAGGAAAGCATCAAAAACAATTAAAAGGCAACCTACAAAATGGGGGAAAATATTTGCAAACCATATATCTGATAAAAGGGTTAACAGTCAAAAGACATAAAGAACTCATGCAACTCAATGACAAAAAAAAGAACAAACAACAGTCTGATTGAAAAATGACCAGAGGCCCTGGCCCGGTGGTCAGTTGGTTGGAGCATCATCCTGTGCGCCAAAAGTTTGTGGGTTTGATTGGGGCGTGTGTGGGAGGCAACAGATCAAAGTTTCTCACATTGGTGTTTCTCTCTCTCCTCCCCCCCCATAAAATCAATAAATATATCTCCTCGGGTGAGGATTTAAAAAAATGGACAGAGGATCAGAATAGGCATTTTTTCAAAGAAAACACACAGATGGCCAACAGGTGAATGAAAAGGTGCTCAATATGGCTAATGAACAAAGAAATGTAAATCAAAACCACAATGAGATATCACCTCACACCTGTTAAAATCAGGCTGTTATCAAAAAGAGAAGAAATATCAAGTGCTGGCAAGGATGAGGGGAAAAGGAAACCCTTGTTCACTGCTGGTGGGAATGCACATTGGTGTTGCCAGGTATGGAAGACAGTATGGAGATTCCTTAAAAAATTAAAAATAGAACTGTTGTATGATACAGCAGTTCCACTTCTAGGTATTTACCCAAAGAAAATGAAAACATTAACTCGAAAAGATATATGCATCCCCATCTTCACTGAAGCATTTTTTATAATAACCCAGACATGGAAGCAACCTAAGTGTCCATCTATGAATGAATGGATAAAGAAAATGCGCTGTATATATACTGTATGCATATTCGGCCATAAAAAACAGAATCTTCCCATTTGCAACAACATGGATGGGCCTTGAGGGCATTACGCTAAGGGAAATAAATCCGATAGAGAAAGACAAATAACGTGTAATCTCACTTATATGTGTAATCTAAAATTTTATAAAATGGCCTTAGAGGGACAGAGAACAGATTGGTGGTTGCCGGAGGCATGGTGAGGGGGTGGGTGAAATGGTGAAGAGGGTCAAAAGTTACAAAGGTCCAGTTATAAAATAAATAAGTCATGGGGAGGTAATTTACAGCATGGTGACTATAACTAATACTGTACTGCATATTTGAAAGTTGATCTTAACAATTCTCACCACAGAAAAAAATTCCATAACTATGTCTGGTGACAGATGTTAACCAGGCTTATTGTGATCATTTAACAATATATACAAATATCGAATCATTATGTTGTACACCTGAAACTAATATAATGTTCTACGCCAATTATATCTCCTCAAAAAAAATAAAAAGTCATGCTGCCAGATTTGCCCTGGGATATCAGAGAACATATTCTGCATACATTCAGCAAGCCATTCTGACTGTGCTTACCCCATTGCAAGAACTTAAATCTTCAAGTCCAAAAGACCAGAGTATTTAGGGCCTTCCCCAGTCTCATTGCTGGCCTAGTTCTTATTCAAATACATTGAACTTGAACCAAACTTAGCTGGTAACCCAAGCTGCCCTGCTTTTTCACACTTCTATGTCTTTGCTCTCCGAGTTCCCCCCCACTAATACCTTTTCTTTCCTCTGTACTGATTAAAACCCTTTCCACCATTCCACGCCAGATCAAATACCACCTCTTCCATCATACTTTCCCTCAAGATAGCAGGTGAAAGGGATCTCTTTGGTTTCTGAAGTCCAACAGGCCATTTTGCACTTTGGATCTAGTCTTTGGGGGCCACCTTTCTTTTTTCTTTTTTTTTAATAAGTGTTTTTTTTTAAGATTTTATCTATTTATTTTTAGAGAAGGGAAAGGAGGGAGAGAAGGAGAGAAACATCCACGTGTGGTTGCATTTCGCGCGCCCCCTACTGGGGACCTGGTCTTCAACCAGGGCATGTGCCCTACACTTGGAATTGAACCAGTGACCCTTTGGTTTGCAGGCCACTGCTCAGTCCACTGAGCCACACCAGCCAGGGCATGGAGGCCACCTTTCTGAATAAAGAAAAATAATTTTTCCATTGCAGGAGAGAATCCAGACTGATCAGTGGCATGTGGAGAGCAAAGCCAGGCCCAGGCTCACAGCAACGCCAGGAAGGAAGGGAGGGAGGAAGCAAAGGAGGGAGGGAGGGAAGTCAGCAGGAAGGAAAGGGAAGTCAGGAGGAGACAGGGAGAGACAGAGAGAAGGAGGGAGAGAAGGGGCCCTGGCTTACCTGCAAGGGTTAAGACTTAGCTTTCTTGGAAGCTGGTGGCTGTAGCGGGGTTTGGCGGTGGGGGGAGACTCGGTTATCAGCTGGGACAAATGCCAACAAGAGAGTAGAGGCCAAGGGAGAGATTACACTCCAGGAACAGTGACATCACCTCTGCCTCCTCCTCATGCCTCAGAAGATTCATCATCAGAATTTGAGAGGATCCTTTCCAACCCCTCGCCTGTTGTCTGGATGGGAACGGTTAGGCCTGGGGAGCTGAAGGGACAAAGGCACCAGGCCTCCAAGTTGTCCCTGCCCACCAGCAACGCAGGCGACTGGAAATAGAATAGCTGATAACACAGGCGCTTCCCTTAGGCTCTCAATCTGCTCATCAGGGAAATGGAGTTAAGAGTTTCGGCCCTTCCTCTCTGTCTAGAAGATGGTATGCTCCTACAGCCTCCACAAGCACAAGTCCTTTGAAATTCTCAGAGCATCCACATGCTTTCATGGGTCAACCAGAGAATCTGTGTCTCAGATGCCACAGGGGAGGCCACCCTGGCCAGGCCCCATTCGAAGGGGACACTTTCCTGGGAGCCTATAGGAGATGGGGTTGACCCCTGGTCCCCAAGGGACTTGAATAAGGGGCTGGGGGTCAGGGGAAGAGCAAGGAGAACTCACCTGTAAGGACAGAGGTGGGGCTGCCTGCCCTGAAGCCCTGTGTCTATGCTCACAGCCCGGCCCCTTTAGTTCTCTCACTCCTTGCAGATGAACAGTTGCATCGCTTTCCAAAAATGCATCAGGATGAAAGTCTGGAAGCTGAGTGGGGCAAGACCACGGCGCTAGATGTCCAGTTCAGCCACTAGGAGCTAGGGAGAGTGGAGGAGGGAAGAGGTAGGAGAGGCAAGTCAGTTCATGACCCCATTCCAAGCCTGTCTTCCCTAGTGGTAGACGATGATGTACGGGGGCTGTCAAAGCAGCTCCCAGAAAGACCTCTGAACATCTATAGTGCTTCCCAGGTACAGATTATCTGGGCTTTCCTCTTTCATTCCTTCACCTGGTGTCTCTTTCACTGCACATCCACATCCCCACACATATGTCTTGTAGGAGAAATATAAGAAGGTATTGTGGAAGGTCAAAAGAGTTAGCACAATGAAAGTGCTTGCATCTGAATTGGTGTAGTTACCTCTGCTGGTCCTGTTCTCTTCCTCCCCCCCCCCCCCACCCATTTTCTCCACATCAGAGGGAACTGACTGATCACCACAGGCTGTGATTTCCAGGATCTCTCTTCAGTCGTCTCCTGGCTGGACTCCACCAAGGGCAGGCACTGCTGGGAGGGTAGGAAAAGTGGAGAAGCCAGAGTATTTCGTCTCCACCTTTTGAGCCTCTGGTGGTGTCTGCTGTGTATATTCTATGGCTCCCACTGTCATTACGCTTTGTGTTGTGTGATCCAGTGTCTGACCCAGTTCACACACCATGTCCTCCCACTGTCCCGCCACTGCTCACCTTCCCCTGATCTGCCTTATATTTCACGGGGGCTGACCCCCCTTAGGCTGTGTGTCTCAGGCTCTCAAATTAGTTGACTTCCCGTTTCCCCTAATGAGAGGGACATCAGAGGCAAATTGAAGGAAAAGGAGCCCTGCCTGGTGTGGCTCAGTGGATTGAGCGCCAGCCTGCGAACCAAAAGGTTGAGAGTTTGATTCCCAGTCAGGGCACACGCCTGGCTTGTGGGCCAGGTCCCACGTTGGGGGCATGCAAGAGGCAAACAACTGATGTTTTCCTCACACATCAATGTTTCTCTCCCTCTCTTCCCCACTCTCCAAAAATAAAATCTTTGAAAAAAAGAATGAGGGAAAGGAAAGGGTTTTTGGTTTTTTTTTTTTCATTTCCTCTGGTTTGGGCAGCACTTCTCTTCTATGGTTCTAGCACCTGTAGACAGACCTGTGATCCCACTTTCCATCAGGCGATCCCTGTCCCTGGACTCTACACATACTTTCTCCCTCACTCCTTTAGCCTAGGGGTGGTCTCGGACTCCCGATGCCCCTAATATCTTAGTTACCTTCCTGTCCTGCTCAGATTCTCTGCCTATCATCTATGTAACCAATTTCTTTTCTGCATTAAATTCGTTCATAAATATTTGATAGTTTGTTTTCCCAGGTTGATCTTGATTATAAACTGGACTAAAGGGAAAACAGCCTGTGATTGAAGGTGAGTGAATGGGAGGCTCGCTGGTCACTTGACTCAGAATAATAGGGGACTGGGTGACAGCTCCTGAGAAGGTGCCTTGCAGCAGCCAGAGAAATGGAGGGAGGTACAGGGCTGAGCAAGCTGATGCTACCCTTCCACCCATTTGAATTCTTTAAGACCTTGCTTTTAGAACAACACAGCTTCAAATTCTCTCAAGGATTTTTGGTAAGCAGGTGTGGACCATTGGGTTAGTTTTCACATTTCCTCTTTCAATGCCTAGATCTCCTATATCTGTCAAATGCTACCCTTCCTCACGGCCAAGTAGACCACTGCCCTCCCCCAATAAACAACACCCCCCCACACACACATACACCAGACACAACAGCCACCAGGATTTATTTTGTTGATGATTTTATTGTGGAGGGAAATACAAGAAAGCAGCTCCAAGTGAGTGGGAGGTGCTATAGTGCTCTCTAGCTACCTGGGTCCCCAAGAGGTTTTCAGGGTGTCGTGGATGTCTGGGTAGACTGCAAGTTACAATTTGTGTTGGAGGTAGCTAATCAATACAGGGGGGATATCCAGCTGGTCAGTGGCTTGTAGCTTGTTGGCCTGGTGCAGAGCTCTGCGGATAACTAAACGGGCCTGCGATAGTAGTGATCGTGGAGTGGCTACAGCAAGGAGAAACAGGTCATGAGAAGCAATCCCCAGGGTAATTCTCCCACCCAAGGCTACATTCGCCCTGCCCTTGCTGCTGCAGCCCTAAATGTTCTCTTCTCAGAGATGTCCCCCACCCTCATTTCAATGTATGGTACCAAAGGGGACACACTTGAGGCCTCGAGAGGGCGTGCTCAAGGCCACAAAGCAGTCATTGGCAGAGCCAGAACAAGATATTGGGCTACTGCTACTCCCTTAGGTCATGTTAGTGATCTTGTCCCTAATAAGGAATATGTAACCTCTTTTCCACTGGGTGTCCGGCAGTGGGAGGAAGATGGTATTTTCTGCAATTCATCCCAGAAGGATTGACTTGGGGGATGATTTGGGAGTCTGGGACCTTCACGCCGGGAAGCTCATAGGACCGACCTAGTTGACACTCACCTCGGGCTTGTAGCAGTAGCAGGGCACCTTTATTATCTTTCCAGGTCAGATCCAGGAGGACAGATGGAAGGTAGATGTTAGCACCAAAATCAATTAATAGCTGGATGAACTCTGGATCACAATTATGGTGGAGGCAGGTTTCAAGGAGGGTGCGGGGCTGTGTAACACGAGCTAACAGGTACTGGTCAGTGCAGTTGTAGTCGGGGTCTGCCCCATAGAGCAAAAGCAGGCGGAAACAGTCAAGGTGCCCATAGACTGCAGCCAGAAAAAGGGGGCCAGAAAATGAACTGATGTTCGACACCCAGAGTGGTAGTTTCACCTTGACATTGGGATCTGCACCGTGACCTAGGAGCTCCTGCAGGATGGCAACAGCACCATCACGCGCGGCTGTGAGCACGGGAGAGCAGTTGTTGTAGATGCTTCCACTAGGACAGGCGCCGGCTTCCAAAAGCACACCCACGCAATCCAGATGGCCATGGCTGACGGCGGTAAAAAGTGGTGTCTGTGCCTTGATGTCCAAGCTGTCAACGTCGGCGCCGTGTGCCAGGAGGACCTGCAAACAACTCAGGTGGCCATAAGAAGCAGCCAAGCGCAAGGGTGTCCCAGGAACACCCCAGCCACTCCTACTGTTGATGACACGTTTATAACGCTCCTGGCGCAAAAGCTGGTCCAAGGTATAGGAGTCGTTTCTGTGCACTGCTTCACGGAGAGCCTGCTTCTCCTCCGTGTCAGTGTCCTCCTCCTCCTTGTTGGGCTGCAGGAGGGAGAACATTTTGCTGATGTCCATGAAGTTCATGTTGGCTTATGAGAGCAGAGCTATTCTCATTAGGAGGAGGACAACACGCCAGGTCTGCGGACGACAGAAAGGGGAGAGAGGCTGAGGGTCCCCATCAAAAGCCTGGATACCAGCCCTTGCCCTTCCCCCCATCCTTCACCATAAGGTTCTTCACTCATGGGTCCCCTGCTTTAAAGCCCCACTCCGTGTTATTTCCAGCCCCAGAGATGGCTGCCAAAACAGATCAGGCGTTTTCACAGCTTGGTGCCTTCGGATATGCTGTTCTGCCTGACCTTCAAACTCCTACGTCTGGGAAGCCCTGCCTAACACCCCGACCTGAACCCTCCTCCCCCTGCTCAGGGGTTCCCAAAGATCACAAGTCGACTTTAGCTATGAACTTTCACACCACATTTCCGCTTATCTGTGCTTCATTACTGTGTCAAAACCACGATGAGGACCCCTGTATTCATCTTGTATTCCTCCACTCCCAGCAGAACTTATATCATGGCTGGGGATTTGGGAGATACATCTTCCTTAGTTCAGAGTATGTGAACTAATGAGGGGGCCCTGGCCTGGCAGTTTCTAGGCCAACAGAATGGTGCTTTGTGATGCTCAGCTCCCATCCCTGAGCATTCTGACACCAAGTCTTAGCCTTCTGGATGAGGTTCAACCTCTTCACAGCCTCTCATATGTGACCTCCCCTCAGACTCATGGCTCGTGCTTCAGGTAACAGAATTATTCAGCAAATGGATGGGGAGTGACATTTACCGATCAAATAAAAGAGGTGACATTACAGAGAGCGCATGTCAAGTGAGATGGAGTCAAAGAGATGGCAGGAAATAGTGGCAAGTCCTTTTCTCTGGTGACAACTGCATTTTGCCCCAAGGCCATTTCAACCCAGGACTCCCTTTGATTACTCCCTTTGATTACTCCCTTACCATGGTTTCCCCATCCCTCTGGGTCAAGCCTTTCCCCATCCTCTCTGCCCCATCCAGCTTTGAACCTTGCCTGAACCCTCACCTCGTCTCTCCCCATTATCCCCAGACCCTGTGAAATCACCCATGGCACAACGACTGACTCAAGCTAACTCTGACCTTAACAGTCCTGTTTCTAGCGTTTAAAGTCAGTCACCCACCTCAGTTTGCAATGTCATCAGGGCGAGCTGCTAGGTTTTCCAGAGCCCGAGACTCCCTGCTCTCCCATTACCTGCAGCTGCGGCCTCCGGGCCACACACCTCCTTTTAGTTACTGTCCACCACCACCCCTCTTTGTTAGCCTGGGACCTCGAGTACACACCTCAAAACATTTCTGAGGTGGGTGGATGGGGTCTCCCTCAACTTTAGACTCCTCCTTACCCACAAGCATCGACTTCATATGATGGTCTTATTATTTATTTATTTTGGGGTGCAATTATAAGAAGAGGGCTTTAGAAATAAGGCAGACCTAAGGTGGCAACTTAGCAACCCCAGAGCCTAGCTGAGTAACCTTGCACAGGACTCTTCCGGTCTTTGGACTCGGTTCCGTTGTCTACAAGATAGAAATAATAGCCCTTGCCTCGTGAGTCTGTTAAGGGGAAGAGAGCTACCATGTATTAGTTCTTTGAAGGTGAGCTTCCTCTCTTTGCGCTTTTAACCTCCCCACTGGCTCCTTCCCCTCAATCATCTTAGAAAACAAAACACTTCTATGGTTCTTTGTCCCAACTCGAGACACATTTTCCTTCCTGTCTTTCTTCTTTATCAAAAATAACCAAAGAGTTGCCTACTGTCTATTTTCCCATCTCTCATTCCTTTCTCTCCCGTCTTCAGTCCAGTGCAACTTACCCTCAATCACACACTGACATAGTTCTTTAAAAAGTCATTTTTGTGGTTAAATATACTGGCTGCTTCTCGTATCTTTCCTCCTCAGACTTTCCTGGGACACCTGTCCCCACTATCACTTCCTCCTACATGGTCCTCCCTTGGCTTTCTGGTCAGCATGTTTTCCTGGTTTTTCTCCCCTCTGTTCTCCCCTGAAATAGTTGTTTCCCTAGTTCTCTCCTCGATCCTCTTCTTCCCAGTCCCATAGCTGTAGCTCTCAGGTTTATCAGCTCTCTCTCTAGCAAAAAAAAAAAAAAAAAAAAAAAAAAAAAAAGTATATATTCACTGAATTTCTTCAAGCACTTCAAAGTCAGCAGTATCACAAAACTTGATCCATACCTCAGTTTCTCACCGTCTACCTGGTCAACCAAACCAAAAACTCAAGATTCATCTCTCAGTCCTTTTGTCTCTTCATCCCACTCCCATCCAATTGGTCTTCAAGTCCTGTGGCTTTTACTTCCCAAAGATCTCTACAGCTCACACCCTCAGGCCCATCCCATTGCCGGTAGTTTATCTAGGCCCCCATAATCTTTTGCCTCAGTTGCTACAGTGGTCTGCTAGCTAGTTTCCCCTTTCAATATTTCCTCCACATTGTGGTTGAAATGACTATTTAAAAATACGAATCTTATCTGTGCCAATCCTGTTTTAAATCTCTTAATGGCTTCTCTTTCTTTGAGTTACAGCCCCGATGCCTTAGCCTGGCTCAAGGGTCCTTCATGAGCAAATCTTGGCCAACATCTCCAGCCTTACTTTCTACTAATCCTCTACTAATACCCCACAATTCAGCGATAGGAGAAATGATAACTCTCCATAAATATACCTTCTTCCGTCACATGCATTTTCTTCTGACGGGTTAGTTCCTTCAGAGTCTGAGCTTTTATAGCACTATAGGAGTCATCGCGCTGTATTGTAACTGCTTCTATATGGGTCTGTTTTGCTTCACTGCAGATTGAAAGGCCATATAAGGTAGTGGTAAAACATGGTCTGGCATTCCGCTTCAATCCCTGATCCACCACTTAGTAACAGTGTGACCTAGGGCAGATCACTTAATCTTGCCGTGCCCAGTTTTTCATCTGTATAGACAGGATGATAGTACCTGCCTCCAGGGGTTATTGTAAGGATTACATGAATTAATACACATTAAGTGTTTAGAATGGCACCTGAATGTAGTACTCAGTAACTATTTTTAATGTGATGATATCACTTAGGTCTTCAATGACTATTGCTCCCTGCGTAAAGTCCTATAACCTCAGAGCTGAAATGCACCTAATACGTCATATACTTTAATTTCAATTTAGAGATGGGAAAAACCAAGGCTCAGAGGAGAACAGTCTTTCCAAGGGTCACATGGCTGACATTGTCAGTTTTTTCATTAGCGAGAACCCAGAACATACCTATAATCTTGTGATTTTCAAACCTATTTCACCATAATGGAAGCGGTAACACTGCATCATCTCTGTTTTGTGGATGGAGGAAACTGAGGCCTTGAGAAGGTAATGGATTTGCAAGGTGCCTTACAAGGCAATAATAGAGCCAGAAATAGAATCCATGTTTCCCTACTCCCCATTCTGTCTTCCTATTGCAACCTGAAAAAATGTACACATAACTCTCCCCCCTTGCCTCTAGCAGATTTGCATTGCAGCTCCCAGAATCCTCAGCTGTGAGGGCCATGCTGAATTCCATGGACTTCATTCATGGAAGGTTTCTTTACAAATCATTTCTTCAGACAGCCAGCAAGGGCTCCCTTAATATATTTTTTGGAGGGGAGTTGTGTCCACGGAGATGAAGGCAGCAGGGGGCGTGCAGGAAAACGCCAAAGTTCTCACCAAGATCATACCATGAGCTCACAGCAGGGTCCATCTAATGAGCCTCCAGAGGGAAATAAAGCCATGGTTCCCAGTTGGCTTGGGCACTTTAGTGGATTGTGCCTTATTAGATAGGATAAGTAAATCTACTCTGCTTGTCTAACCTCACGTTGTTGTGGTTTTTTAATCAATAGTTATTATGGGACTATTTTGTACAAGGATCCCCTTCCTGTTTCTGAGTGCAGGGGTTTTAAACGTGTGTGTGTGTATGTGTGTGTGTGTGTGTGTGTGTGTGTGTGTGTGTGTGAGAGAGAGAGAGAGAGAGAGAGAGAGAGAGACATACAGATAGACAGACAGACATTGGCCCCTGTGGCAACCTCTGGTCCCATTTCAGAATGGTTTTTAATACATAAAATAAAATAAAATAAATAAGATAAAATAAAATAAGAAAGTACGTAGGTTTAAAGAAAATAAATCGAAAGACAGCTATTAAATATTTTTAAAATTATATGATAGTAATAAATGTTCCTTATTAACACATTAAATAACAAGATCTAGTAATTTCTATGTTGATGATGAGCAAAAGTGACAATTCCAGAAATCTGCCATGACTGTAATATGATATGAAATGTCTGTTATTTCTTCTGGTGACCAAGTTACATAAACTAGTAATAGTACTGTCATCTGCTGCCTGCATTCGTCCTTGAAACGGTCAATTTCTAGTTACAGGTTGGGAGGGGGAAGGCCCCATCTATGTTTTTGCATCCTTTGAAATCTATCTAAGGCACTCTTGAGGGCCTATGAATACAGGCTATGAGCTCCAAATGGAGTGGCTAGTTTCTGTGGGTCCTGGAAGAGTCCCCCAGGCATGCGTAGACCATTTCTTAGACTCACCTTCTTCCCCACATCCTGAGGAGCTCTGTCTGCCCTTCTGCCCTGAGACCACCCTGCTGCACCTCTACACAGACTCACAAATACCACAAAAGGACATAAAGACAAATCTCAACACTCTGAACTGTAAAAAGGTCAATTTATCTCAAGAACTAGGTCCATTTGGACCCCAAAGCCTCGGCAGACACAACCCCTTGGGACAGACACAGCAGGAAGCCGTCATTGAATCCCTCTCTCCCTCTGTGGGCAGGTTTACCTACAGACCTCCCAAGTGCCCCCAGAAACCAGAGTGAGTGGGAACAAGCCATGGGCCTGCAGGCTCACTACTCCATGGCGGTGATGTGGTGTCCTAGGCTCCTGGTACTCACCGGGCTCCTGCCTGAGGCTGCGCTGACCAGGGTTGCCACTGTCCCCGCCTTTCTGCGAAGCACAGGGCCCTGGTGGTTCGTCCTTGGGGAGCCCCTACTGCCCCAAGGCTGGAGCGGGGGAGACTCCCAGTTCCCACTGTTAGCACTGCCTGAAGGCTAGCCGTCAGCCCCTGGGCTGACTAGGTCCATGGGGCTAATTTTAGGTTGCCCTCCACCCCCCTCCCAGGGCCGTGTTATCTTACGAGTGCCATTCTGGGAGTGATCCCAGCCAGAGGAGGGGGGCCGTCCATGGGGAAGTCCTGGAAGGACTGACTGACAGAGAGACAGGTGCCTGGTGAGGTCAGGGCTCATGCTCCTAGTGTGCCCCTGTGTACCCCTCCCCACCATTCAAATGGCCCACATGGCTAGACCCCTGAGCTTCCCTCCTCTGGGTAGGGGCCTCTTTTTTCCTCCCTCACTTAGCCTCCTCTGGATTTCCTTTTCCTTTCTTGAAGGGCCATCAAGACATTGCCCCCCTCCCCCTTCACACCCATGAGTGAAGAGGGGCAGGGGGAACAGAGACCTCCATACTGGAATGGGTATCAGTAGGGTTTTCTGAAGTTTAATAAGGTCTGGATAATGTATAAAGGCCTCCTCAGTCCACTAACACAACAGGCTCAGCCTGAAGAAAATGCCCATAGCCTCCCCACTCTTCTCACGCCTAACGCATCAAACCAGATCAAAATGATTTGTACAAATGACAGTTTTCCAAAAGAAGTCAAATTATAACCAAAAACATCTGATGATTTACATTATATAAGCCAAGGACCAAATTGTGGAAAGAGAAGGATCAGAGAAGATACAATAGAAAATCACCCTACTACTTTAAGATGAAAGGAACAAGGCAACTATCAAAAAAAGGTAAATTAAAAAATGGTTCCTACTTATAAATGGAAAAGACTCAAATAAACTAGTTCTTTAAAAATACAGAATTTAAAAAGCTACTAAGAGGAGGTTAGTAAGAAAGGCATATTTACATATAAAAAAGGACAGCCAAAATGATTTAGTGTTTTCCCTCTAAAGAGGAAGATTGTTTTGTGTCCATAGTTTAGTTACAGGAGCTATACTGGCTTTTCTCTCTTCCTTCTAACAGTTAAATTAAAAGGTACCTCTTTTGTACAGAGAAAAGTAACTAAGAAGCCTTTTAAGAGCATTTAGAAAGGTCTGTGTTTACAATTGGATGTGGCAGTACAGAGATGGTTCTTTCACGAAGATATCTCATTTTTCAGTGTAGCCCAGACATACAGTATTTGAATAGATATCTTGGGTGAGAACCTAGATTCTGTTTGCAATGGGAGTTCTGAAAATGCTGACGATACACACTGCATGATCCAAACTGCCAGAGGCCTGCCCTCGCCCAGCATGTGAAAGTGGATAAACCATGACTGAATATCCACTAGGAAAATGTACAGCAAGTGGCATCAATCCCAAGAGGAAAATCTGGAGTTTAAACAAAAAGAAACACATCCCTTGCCCAAGGAGTATTTAGGCCCACTCTAAGAATGGGCTTTTTTTGAAAAGCATCCATTAGCACAAAGTGATATACTGGCCAAATTATAAAAATAGTGCCAACAGTATCTAAAAATCTACAAACTTGCTGTGCTGTCTGGAGAAGCAAAACCACTGGTTTTCATGAAAAGACCTAAGAGGAGGCCCGTTTTAGGAAAAAGATGGGAACACGGGCCATGAGTAAGCTAGGGTCTAAAGCACTGAGATTTTCAATTGTCTCCGGAACTGATGTTGAGAATGCTAGTGATCTATGTTAATTCAGACTCCACTAAAATGGAATTGATCATTTTGGAATGTAGTGGATTCAAGTTTACCTACGGACTATATGAAAAGAGGAGTTGGCTAAGTGAGTATTATAAAACCCAGCTGGGGTGTGGGTTGGTTTTATAATACTTAAAGAGCAAGTGTAACTTAAGATAACTATTCCCTTTTATGTTATAAACCATCAAGCATTCATGCACCCATGTTAACAGTTAAGGAACATTTTATTTCTCAGGCAAACGTCACAGTCTTTATTGGCAATAACATTAGCTTACATCCTATGAGTAAACATACATGAAAGTGAAATTTCCTTTTAAACCAGTCTGTAACTCAGTTATCTGTTACACACCATCTCTCCAGCCCCTCAACAGCATCTTAATTCACCACCATGACAATATTCGCACTTTGTTCTCATGCTAGAGCAGTGAGGGTGAAAAAGTAGGGAAGGGAAATGGAATAACGGAATCAGTATAACATCTCAGCTCAAAGGCAACATTTCTAAAGTTAAATCCCATTCTAGAACAATAACATCAGGCTACTTGATGTGCATTTACTGGTTGCTTAATTAGTAAACGCTTTAAATCCCCGTTCAGATTCTTAAGTGGGACGAGGGGTGCCCTGGCCCTGCCCATGTAAACGAATTAGAAAAGCAGCATAACCTTCTTTGGAACAAGGATCATTGTGGGTGCCACAGGTGCACCTAGCATGGAAGCAGGTAAGGAGCTTACTATTTCTTGGAGCTACCTGCCTCCTTGGTGCTAGTCTTGGAGATGCCTGTGGCCTCAGAGGCACCTCTGGACTCAGAGGTGCCTGGGTCTCCAGAGAAGCCCACATCCCCAGAAATGCTTATGGACATAAGGCTGCCTGTAATGTCATAACAGTCATGGTAGCAGTCGCCACACTGGCTTTTTACTTGATCCTTCTGAGCTTGGAGGCCTCCTTCTCTGGGTAAGTCATGCCGGTCTCCCATAAAACCAAGAGGATTGGTCAAAGGACTTTCCGGATGCTGAGATAATGAATCCCCAAATTGAGTGCTGGTAAAGAGTTCTTCTGGTGGGTCTTCATGAGCTTTCAATTTCTGTTATGGGAGCAAGGAATGGTTGAAAAGAATTATAAACAGGAGAAAAACTAGAAAAGTATCACATAGACTTGCAGGGATCCTGCCTACTGTCACTTATATGGAAGCAAATGACCTTCTGTCCCCCCCACCTTACCCCCAATCATTTTTTCTTCATCATTTGACATAGTGCTTTAAAAGCCCAACCATTAAAAGATCCTCAGGGGTCTTGTGTGTATAAAAGTCTTTTTTTCTAATAAATGGAATTTTATTACTGGGAGCAGAAGGGTAAGGGGGAGACTAACAAACATTTATTGAATGCCTCTATGTGCTGGAAACATTACAGATAGTGTTTCCTTTTATACTTATAAGAATCCTACTAATTAGGTATTAGCTGTATTTTACAGATGAGGAAACTGAGGCTCAGAAAATTTAAGTTAGTCACCTAAATTGACACATTTAGGAAGCGGCAGAACTGCGATCTGCCTCTACCTTTTTTTAATGCCAAAGTCTTTAATCTGCCTATAACCTGTCAACTACTTCATGCTACCAATGGATATTTTCATTTTTGGAGACAACACAATGATTCAATGATACTTAACTTTCTGGTGGTCATAGATCCTTTTGAAAATCTGAAGAAAATAATGGACCTACCTTCTTCTCAGAAAACTACATGCATGCACGTATGTGAGCATGAGGCAGAATATACACAGTTTTTAGATATAATTTCAGGGACATCACAGATGCCCCAAAGGCATCTGTGGACACCGATGGGTTCATGGACTCCAGTTAAGAGCTCCTGCCTTAGAGAACAGGCATTCATTCTTATTTTTCCAGATACCACAAAATCAATTTCCTTGTCTCTGTCTCTCTGTCTCTATCTCACGCGAGCACACACACGCACGCGCACACACACGCACACGCACACAGAGTGATAACCCCTGAAGGGAAAATCTAAATGGGTAAATAGCTGGGGAAGTCTTTTAAACATTTCTTCATCTTGTATGCTTTTGTATTCTGCATTCTAACTTTGAACATGAATTGCATTTTAAAAATTTCAATAGGATTGCCCTGACCAGTGTAGCTCAGTTGGTTGGGTATCACCCTGCAAAGTGAAAGGTCGCTTGTTTGATTCCCTGTCAGGGCACATGCCTGGGTGGCAAGTTTGATCCCAAGTCAGGTTGCCTTCAAAAGGCAACCACCTGCTGTTTCTCTCTCACATTAATGTTTCTTTCCCTCTGTTTCTCCCTCCCCTCCTCTCTCTCTAAACATGAGTAAATACAATCTTTAAAAGATAAAAAGTAAAATTTTGACAGGATTATTTGGGTAATAATATTATGGGCCATTTTTGTTTTTCTTCTGTAAATTAAAAAATGATGTTAATAAATATTCATATATATTTTAAAAGCCTTAATTTTTTACTTTATAATCAGAGAATGATCTGGTTTTACCTAGAATGAATCTGATTCTCTCTCAAAAATCAGGTAGGAATAAGTTAGATGGCTGAGTCTAGGAGAAGTGGCCTGCTCTGGGGGCCTTGTAGAAGAGGAGGCAGGAGAAGCTAGGAAAGTTTTCCTCCTTCTCAGTTCTGCCTAGAGCTTGGTCTTCCCAGGACTGCTTGCTTCCTGTTTCCTATAATTTTAAGTCATGCTTCAGTTTTCCTTCCTTATCTTCTTTTTTCTTTTTACTTATTGATTTTATACAAGGTGGGGGCGGGATAGAGAGAGATCTGTTGTTCCACTTAGTTATACATTCATTGGTTGACTCATATGTGCCCTGACTGGGGATTGAACCTACAACCTTGGTATATTGGGACAACATTCTAATTAACTGAGCTACCTGGCCAGGGCCTCTTCTTGTTTTAAATATCCTCATCTGAGGATATATTTATTGATTTTAGTGAGAAAGGAACGGGGGAGAGAGAGAGAGAAAGAGAGATAAAGAAACATTTATCAGTTGCCTCCTATACGTGCCCCGACTAGGGATCGAACTCACAATCTAGGTACGTGCCCTGACCAGGGACTGAACCTGCAACCATCTGGTGTACAGGATGATGCTCCAACCAAATGAGCCACCCACCCAGGGCATCTTTCCTTTTTTTAAAAAAATGGAACAAAGTAACTGACAATTGCTTCCCAACAGGACATTCAAAAGTTTGAGATATGATGTAATCTCAATACATTTATCTTCTCATTTCTT